AAAGGAAAAGTTTAGGAGTAATATTGTGACTCATTTGCTCAATAAGGAAAGGAGAAAGTCTTCAGACAATTGTCACCATTTTTGTCTGACAGTAACTTGCTAAACAGTGGATTTTCCTGCTGGCTGTATGGTTCCTCCTGTCTTTCCTGTCAAACGTGTTTTGCAGTACTGCGATCCCATACTCTTCAACACAGGGTTGAACATAGAAGAATGGATGCTTGTATAAATGTAGGTGTGTGTATATAAATATGTGTGTGTGTACGTACGTATGTATGTTTTTTGTAAGAGCATATAATTAAAAATAAAAACATAAATAAATGCTTCTTGGTTTGTTGGAGAAGGGATATTGAGGTGATAACTAGGAAAGGTTATTAGTGCTTTCCTGAAATAGAACAAAGTGTCACTTTCTAATAGAAATTCAACTATTATTCTGTCCCTCTTCAAGAAACTAACTCTTCTTATGAACTTGTCAGTTATTAGTTTATTTCAGACTGTGGTTTTAGGGATGCATCACTGATAAAACTCAACTGAAGCTATCTGATCAGTCTCCATCCTCTCAATATTTTCTCTCCCATGCAGCTGAAGACAACATGCAGTGTGTCTTCAGCTCTGAAAAGCTTTTTTTTTTTTTTTTTTTTTGTAAAAAGGAAATTGAACTCTTTACAGCTCTTCCGCTAAAACATATCTCTTAACTTTAGAAATAAATGTGTGTGTAGGGAGAGGAGGGTTCCTATGTAGTCTGCTTTTTTTTTTTTTTTTTCTCTGCAGTATCAGTTGGATAAAGGGAGAGCTGCCCCAGAATAAAGCATAGGCTGGAGGTTAGAATATTGCATCTTGAACTACTCGCTGTGGATCAGTAAGGAATTTGAATCTGCCCTAATCACTGGGGTAATCTACCTTCACCTCTACTTAACCTAACTCTCTTGATTCCTTTTCAAACAAATGACCAAACGTGAGAGGCTTTAATCCAAAGTTAATGATGTCCTGATGATACAAGCATTCGTTTTTCTTCTCTTACTATGGTGGAATTGCTCACTGGTTTTTAATGACAGCTGTATGTGGATGAGGACTATAGAGCTGAAAGTCAATAGAGAATAAGACAAACATACAGGTTTTAGAGAAGGAGCTACGATTATTACCAGCAGCTAATTGAGGCAGGTTGCTTACACTGAGTTGCTAAGGCTGCATCTGGAAAGTCACAAACAAATACATACCAAATGTCTAATTTTCCCTTCGTAAATTGTTTGTCTTAACATTCTGAATCTGGATTTCGACGTTGTGATTCATATCTTTGTGCATGAGGCTGGGATTTTTGCATTGCATTGTGCATAAGCTTAAAGTTTGGAACAAATTAGAAATTGTTGCTAAGGCTGAGTGAAATGTCCCATTATCAGAAGGTATTTCAGACAGAGAGGATGTTGCTCTTTTGTTCAGCCAGCCATCAAGTGATCTGTAGGTGAAGTTTAAAGAATTGTTTTGACAGATAAAATCAAAAATATTTTATCAGTTTTGGATGCTACACAGGCCATTGCTTTCTTTATGTATTATGCAGCGGTGCTTGAACAAAGAATACTACTGTTTAAAGAGAAAATGGTAACAATGAGTTATCCTCAAACTTGATGGCTTGAGGGACACACTGCTAGACTTCCTGTTTTTCATTTTTCTTCATGGAAAAAGGAGAAGTGACTATGAGTGGAGTAGAACTGAGTCTGCATTTAAGAAGTGGGTTTATTTTGCAGAGGTGTTTTTCCTAGTGCATTCTTGATGTGCTGCTAGCTGCTACTTGTGCATTAATATTTGTAATGTGCTTGAGATTTTCATAGTCATTCTGTTTCTACTTGCACTGATGCCTCTAATTCATGCATAGTGAAAAAAGGTTACATGTAGATGAGGAGATATTTTTACTGAGCAAAATGTAATCTTAAATTTTTGAGAGGCTGATTTAGAAAATCGTCAAGGACTGGTGACTGCTCTGTGAAACATCAGATATGGGTCCAGCTAGTAAATGTATGGATGGTTATTATTAATTCATATTAATGATCTCTATATTTTCTGAGTGACATCTTTGCGAGACAAAATATTTTCATTATGTGTAAGAAATATCATCTTTTTCCACACAATAACACTTCAAATTAACATGCCTGAATAGGACCTTTCATATAAGGAGAATGAAAAACCCAGTGTCATTTAGGAGAGGTGCAAACTGTTAAATCAACAGTTTCTTTTGTTTTTCTATTTCTTCCTGTTTTGAACAAATCCTGTTTTCAAAGATTATTGTTTGTTACCTCACTGATATCAGGGAGGAGAAGAACTAAACAATTACTGGTTACAATGTCTTGGGTTTTTTTTTCTCCTTCACTTTTTAATTTGTTCTATACCTGCTGCGAAATTTCAAAGACAGAAATTGCCTATATCTGTGTGGTTTTATGATTTCCATAATCAATGAAATCCCAGAGTTACACTAAACACCTTTCAGGAAGGCATCACTATCCATCAATTCAGAACTAGTCTCTTACCTCCTATTCAATCACTGTGGCTCTTGAATGAAACATTCTGATCTCCTCTGGAAAATCCTTGTTTTAAAAGTGCCCATGTTATTGGCCAGTTTGAATCTGCTTCTCCCTCTCTTACCAGTCCTTTGACATTTTCATGAATTATAAGCAGAATGTTAGGGTAAAGTTTATTTTTAAACTATTCTGGCTTCAAATATTAAAAATATATTTATAATATATGTATAATAACTATCTATAAGGAACTCCTTGATGTCTTTCTGCTAAATTATGTGTTTTGGTTAAATATGTCATTATTGGCAGAAAAGTAACCACTCAGAACAAATACTCATCTTTCAGATTTAGAGCGATATCTAGTCGAGGTCATTAGAGTTTTTTTCACAAGGAAGGCAAATTAAGGGAGAGGTCAGTAATTACATTACAAGGTATACACACTAATCAAGTGAAAATTTGCTTACATGGGGAATTTCAAAGAACCTTTGAACGTAAGGTGTTAAACCAGAACACAGTTTTGAAAGAGTAAACTTAAAATTTATTTTCATTTGAGAAATGCACAGTTTGTCACATACATTGCATATTATTATTTCCATGACTCAAATTTTACATGAAAATATTGCAACCTGAGCCTAATTGAGTTAAAAAATACATCAATTAACAGTAGAGTAATTTTTGCAAATTTGTTATTTATAATGGCTTGTAATGATAAGGACATGTTGTTCTTAGACTGTGCTCTGATTGAGAAAGGGAGGTGGTCAGTGTTCGAATGAGTGTGCATTGAAGCCTGCTGGGGAGCAGCATCAGAAAGTGCTGCAGATAGTCCAGATATTTGAATCATATGAGCGTCTAAAACTTGATTAATTCCTCCCAAGACTGACATGTAAAATGTTATAAAAATGTGCATTCTCAGCCTGATAAAGAGCATGAAAGACAAGCCTGAACTGGATTGTGCAACATTTTGGGTAAAATTAATGCTAAATAAATGATTACTGTAAATGATATCATGATCATGATCATGAAAATTCCAGTGATGACTAGGGAATCAAAGTGTGGTCCTTATTGATGTTCACTGCTCCACACTGCTTTGTGAAAATAGGATTCTCAGGCTTGGTAATCTGCAAAATGAAACTATTTGATATTTTGAAATTCAAAATTATGCTTCTTGAATTTTGTTTCATTACATTGAAATATCAATATATTTAAAATATATTGTATCATACAAAAAAAACGCAAAGCACTTATAAAATGTTTGGAATACTTTTTTTGGCTTCATATTAAAAAATTGAATAAGCCTGAAACTATTTTTCTTTTTAACTTTTGGAGCTGAAAGGGAACTGCAAATGCCTTTAGTCATGCAGCAGTGCGAAGTTTTTCATCCAGACTCATCTCAGCTTTGTTTTTTAAGGAAATGTAATCCTGGTGTGCTACCAGTTGACCAGAGATGAGCTCAAAGGTACTGCTCTGTTGTGAGGATGTCATGGCTGATGTTTTTAGGCATGAAAACTGTAATCCAAAGCTTTTGCGACTGCATGCCTAGCAGTCTGTACTTACAGTCTAATATACAGAACTCAGCATCAGCAGAAAATCAAACTATTTGTTCATTCACTGATTTTCCTGTATACAAACAGCAAATAAAAAGATTTTTTTAAATAATGTGAAAACACTCTGCTAAGTTAGCATAGTTAAATGCCTTAAAAGTGAAGAATGAAAAAAAAAGTGGTAAAGTATATAGAAAGGAATGAAATTTTATGGTGGACATGTGTCTACATTAACCAGTCAAAACTATGGTAGAATAACACTTCTAATAGTCCTATCTATTAATACGCATCCAGGAAATGAGAGTACTCAGGCGAGATATGCAAGTTCACCTTTACTTTCTCATAATACTATGTAATGCATGATCAGAATCCACTCAATAAAACATGCCTATAGGAAAATAACATGTAATAATAATATTGCATTAAGAATCTTTGGATAAAGCTGAAACTTTCAGAAAAGTTTACAACTTTTTTTAAACTTCCACAATTCCCTAGGCAAGATTTACCTAAATTAGTGATAGATATTAATATAGCACAGGGAGATTTTTTTTTTCACTGAGTGAATGCCATAAATGTTTAAGCACAATATGATGTTAAAGTTTGATGGAGAATTCAGGTTTTAATACATTAATCTATTTGCAAAGGTACCCTTTTCATTGGTAGTGGGACATTCTACCTTGAAAGTTGTGGAGTGTATTTTTCATGAAAGGTATGTTGATTATTGTGGTGTTTGTAAGCAGGTCATTTTTCAGCATCTGCTTTTCAATGATGTTTTGCAATGAGAATGATTACAGTAGCTTCACGTCAGGGTGGAACATCATGATTGATGCTATGTCAAGGAGAACATGGAATCTCCTAATGACTTTAATAGTGTCTATTTCTTTGTGGAATTTCTTTTCATTTTCTTAAAACAACGGGAACATTACTGACTGTATAACCTTATCCCCTGTCTCAGGTCTCCTAGAAACCCTGAACAGAAGATCATTAAACGAGTGATTGCTCTTGAAGGAGACATTATCAAGTAAGTATTTTAAGCCTTAGTCTCTGAGTCTTTATAGGAATAGTGCAGCATTTCAGTGGATTTTAAATCAGTATCCTAGACAACGAGAACTTTCTAGTATTTTCTTTCTATCTATTCTTAACAGGGATGTCAGCATTGTACTTGTCTCCTTTTTAATGAGAGGAGAAATGCTACACAAAAGTGCTCACTCTCTCATGAAAGGTACATGGGTGCAAATAATGCTTGTTTCTTAGAATATCTCTGTCACGTATCAAGGCAGGTAATTGTACAGGATTTTTTATATACGAATATAGGGCTGTGATTTTTCGTTTAGGGAGTCCAGCTGCTGTTTCATACTGTGGTTGGCAAATAAAAGCAGGGTTCTTTTAGGGGTTGAGTTTTATTTAATTTGTTTCAGATTTGACAGATTTTAAAACTTTTATTTTATTTTCTTTTTTTTTTATTTTTGAAACAAAGAACCCTCATAGATGACTGCATTCACTGCAGTGTATAGGACTCTGTAGGGAATATGGTGGAACTGATTTGGAGTAAATTATTCTAAAAAAAAATAAAATTGTAGCAAGAGCAGACTCTAGAGTGCTTCAAGACATGGTTTATTCTGACAGATAGACCTTCCTTCTGGGGCCGGTTGGAAATAAATCACTAGTAAATGTAAATCAAAAGTTTTTGTGGGAACACATTTTGATGAAAATGCTTGTTTGAAAGGGTTTCTTTTTCCCAGGTACAGAATGGAATTGGCATAGAGCTGGGAGGGTAAATCCCTAGTTTCCCACACTAAGATATGAATAACCCTGGGAGCTCTCAGACAATATGGCAGACTGAGAGTCAATTCAATTAGGTAATGATTCTTGCTCTGATGTAGTGAATACTGAAGAAGTACTTGGCAACTGCAATTCAAATCAAGGATTTGAGTGTGGTCTCAATGAGCCATAGTTAGGAGCAGCACTGGTGGGCTTTTAGGCACTATGGAATATGTCTCTGTCTTTTTTTTCTTTTTCCTCTTGCAGTTGATATAAATTTTATTTTATTGAAAAATTCCAAATCATCTCAGTTTGAGAAATGAAAATAAATTATGAATTTTCTGTTGAAGCAAAATAATAGACACGAAGAAGATAATTTGATGTCCAAAAACTATGGACATCTACAGCTAAAACTAGCTATCACTTTAAAGAACTAAAAACATAGGAATAGTGTGTGCTACTGAGTTATTCCTTTTATAGATCTGTGTCTTTACGAAGGTACTTATTCCTTGATATAGTTGATATTAGTGCTGTAATTCATATAAGTGATGACTGGTGTTCACGATTCAGTATTTCTCACTCATTTCTGTAACAATGTCGAAAGGAGACAGCAATATAAGGCAACTTCAAGGGTTACTTTTCACTGTTCTATATTATTAACATATTTGTCTGAATTTTTGAAAATGAATGTATTTTTTTGATAATACGAAAGACATAACTTAAATTCCAGCTGTAGGAAATTAATTATGCTGTACATTCAAATGCCTTAAGACTGAACTTTTCATTGAATTCTGTGGGTGTTCTTGGGCAAGTGGACAAAGGTGTGGGGCATAATAGATGTGAGAGTGTGTGCAGAATACTGATGAGCCTGTAGGTTATTCAGTCAGTCATGGGTACAGAAGACTGTACAATAATCCTTATTTGTCTTTAGTAAAACAGGTTAGATTAACTTATTGATACAAATATTCATCTCAGTAATTTAGATGTGCATTTTTTTCTATTTGAACACATGAAAATTGTCCCAGAGCCATTTGTTTTAACTGTAGAAAGTAGTTTTTATCTAAAGAATAAATTATTGGACTCTTATAACTTGTTAAGTTTTTATTACATATTATTGTCCCTTAGTTGTGTCTGTGTATGAAATGTAAGTAATACTTGCCACTTTTCATAGCACTAGGGTAAAGCAAAAGCTTAGATAATAAGATAAAACAGCAGAGCTGGCAAGATTTTTCTACAATATGTATTTGTAATGATACTGCAAGCAGGTATGTGACTGGGATATTTGTGACTGAAACAGACAATTGGGAACTGAAAGCATGTATAGAAAACATAAATAGGAGATTTTGACTCCTATTTGATTTCTGAAGACAGTCTTTATTACAATTCAAAAAGAATTGGTTTTGATATCTTAAGGTTTTATGTCTGTATATTTCTATATATTGAATTATTCCTGATCAGCATACAATGATGCTCCGAATTACAATGAAAGTAATATGGATCATGTACAAAAATGTATTTGAAAGTGTGGGACTCTTCCCTATTCTTCTGGCTCTTTTTTGGTATGGGTGAAACATGATGCAAAACTAATATATACTGACCTTTAAGGACCATTTGAACATCCTCATTCCTAATATCAAGTCTTTGAAGTGGAGTATATATGCATGTATGCTAAAACCCCTACTTCTTTAAGCCTTTTGCTGCTCTGTAGATCAATAAGACTTCCTTCTTGCTGAGCAAACATCTGGTCGCACTACAGAGCAGTTATTTCAGTTTCAGGGTACAGAAAAGTGAGAGTCATGAGTTAGATATGATGGGGTTCTAGCACTTACGGAGCTGTTTGTGGGTACAGTGGTTTTGTGGAGATGTGGTGGTTATACAGAGAGCTGTGTTGTGTTGGACATTTTATCTGGAAGGTCGGTGCCATGTACAAAGTCTATCTGTTACTCTGCAAATTTTGCTTGATGTCATGTGACAGAATTCATTCATACATGCTTTCAAAGGTGAGTCTTCCAGTTTCTGTTGTGAAGAAAGGTTTGCAAATAATTGTGGGTTGGAAGGTATTTTCATTTAGTGCTCCGTGAGACAGGTGATAGACAACATGATCTGCGAGTCTGTAGTTATACTTTCATAGATGAATGAGTTATCTTTAGTCGGTCTATTTGCTGCATGATTAGGGATAATTAGTCACAAGACTGCTGTGTTTTCTCATGTTATCAATTAAAATAACTTAGTTAGCATTTTACTATTTATTAATTACTGAAGGTAATGAAAGGCCAAATAGGCAGAGCCATTAGTACCACAGGAAACGTTCCTTATATTTTGACTTGAGTTCAGGTGTTATTGCTCCGCAGAAAAAACCTGTTTTTCAGTTCTTCATTTCTAAAAGCATTAAATAAGATAAAAATTGTGACATTTTGAATATAATAATGACTGACTTCTAGTTTTTGAAAAGGAATGTAGGTGAGAGATCTATAATGGGTCCATTTCAACCTTTTATTTTGCATTTTTCAGGTAGTCAGACATTATGGACTACACAGTACTTCACCTTTTAAAATATGCTTTGAGGGATTGAAAAACGCTACGAACTCACTGAATAAAAATTCTGGCATTTCAACTTTCTGTTCTTGTTTCCAGTCTAGTTGGTAGTCCAGGTGAAGTGATTTTGGTAGTGTCTTGTAAATCCCTGGAAGCATGTAGTACATTCCACAAACCTATAACAGGCAATTTAATTTGGATAAGCTAGTAGAAGATCCTCCTCAAAAGGATTTAAAGAATAGACAGAAAATCACCATTTAGCCCTTGAGAATGAATCTGTAGGTCAGCTTGTATATAGACAATATTGAAAAGTGTAGCTCCCATAGATCAGGTTTTGTTTTGTCTTCCATGGATTCACAGGAGAATTAACTTTAAGTAGGAAATCATTACAACAGTTCGTGAAGACTGTTTAAATTATAATTCTTCCAAAGGAGGCCTTCTGTTAAAGTCAATATAATCTAATTTGTTAAAAATTAATGTTGGTATTATAAAACACTTTGAATAACTTGAAATTAAACTTATCAGATCTCATTTATCTTAAATGCATGAGTGGAAATTCAAAAATCTATAGTAATCTATCACAGATGAGTTATGGTATGTTTTCAGTAACACAAATAAATGAAGGTTTATGTAAAATAAACCAAAATTGGGATTAAACTAGTAACATTCAAATTAAGTCTGTTCAGTTACTTGCTGGACTGATTTGTTTTCCTTCTGTCTGTCACAGTTGCACAGGTCTGCAGGAGCTTGGTGTGCTAATTCTATTTCTTTCATATAGTTGTTTGCTTCTTAATGCTGTACCTGATTTAAGAATGATTTGTGACCCCTTGGAAAAGTAATTTTAAGAAGTTCTGTCCAAGGATATTGTTAGGCTGTTTAGGAGTCAGTGTTCTGAGGATCAACACAGAATGTTAGGAAGGGCAGAGATATTAAGGGGTTTGAAAAAGGAGTAGAGAATTAATAGAAATAAAGCTTATAATCAGCTATTAAATGCAGCAGTCACAGTATAACTTCATGTACTCCTGTTGCCAAGTTCTTGCAGGTTGTTACATTTTGTGCAGTCAAAGATCCCATACTGCCTTAAAATATAACCAAAATCTGGTCATTCTGTCCACTTGGAGAACTCTCAGCTTGAAACAAACTCTTCACTACTTCATGCTGGTGTTTGGTTGCTTTTTTTTTTTTTTTTAAAAAAAAAAAAGCAGGTGGCATCTAGTATCCCTTCAGTATGAAAAAGATAATCGACAAGTATTCTTGCTGTTTCCTTTTTTTTTTTTTTTTACTGAACTAGCTCAATTTCATCAGATAGGTGTGGCTGCTATTTTTTTCACTGAGTACCAAGGATGGTTGTCCAACGAAACAGCTGTCTTCATGCAGAGACCCTGCTTCTTGATAGCAACTTGTTTTAAATTATACCACAAAATTACTGCCAGCCTGTAGGAAGCATAAGAGCCTTCAGAAAAATTCAGACTTTGCCAGTGTTGTGGCACAGGAATGTCTCTATATGGAACATCTTCAGGGAAACCACCTGGCAGGAATTGCATCCTATTCCCTTCTTCCTCCAAGTCCATTGTCATTGTCTTTGGATTGTGAGTATAGATCTGTGAGTGTGGGTGTCCACACTGACAAGAACGCTAGTAGGATTGACAGAACTGAGAACTGATTGTAGTCTACGGAGACACAGCACTGTCCTCAGAGATTACAAATTTTGGAACATCTTTCCTT